AGAGAGAGAGAGAAAGAGGGGAGAGAGAGTGCAAACGACGGGAATGAAAGAGGAATAAAACAGCGAGCCCGACAGCTAGCTGAAGAAAAAAAGGGAGCGACGTCGCACAGAAACGAGCCACCGAGGAGGAGACAGACCCCGGGCCAGACGACCCCGTTAGCGCGGATACAGGGAGGCACAGAGGGGGGGAGGAAATAACGGGAGAAAGGCTCGATAAATAACGCAAGAAGAGGGCAGACGTTATCACCAGGGTAAGTTCCTTATCAAAACATCCAATAGACGGGGCGTGTTTGCGCCTGAGCAGATGAGTTATCCTCTGCACATGTCCGTCTGGAGCTGTATTATGATCAATTCCCTTTAAACGCCCACCATGAAGTAACAGTCACATCGGTGTGCTCCGCCACAGGACCACCGGCAGATATAACTTATCACACCCCGAAGAGAGCTTCACTCTCACTGGGAAATGGAGAACAAACACCCAGTGAAAAAAAACAACATTTTTACTGTTTGAAGTTTATAAATCCTGTAAGACTTTGGCTGAATTTCACATTTATAATGTTTTTTTTTTTGTTTTTTTTACCGCTTTCACACACATGTCGCCGGCTCCAGCTCCACACACACACACACACACACACACTCCTCAATGCGCCGTAGCCTTCACGAGTATTAGCTTAGTCATTACTGAACCCAAGCGGGCCAAAACCAATGTCCATATCCGCGGGCCGGGCTCGGGATTAAAATAACCGAGGGCCCTTTGCAGAGAGGGTCACGTTAATGCCTCGACCGGTTTAGGTGCATTAAATGATGTTATATTTCGCCTTTATGAGGGAAGGAAGGGCCTGGGCCTGGACGCAGCGCGCATGGATGTGGGGACACCGACGCGTTACCGACGGCGGGCCGTGATACGCGCACTAGGCCGCAGTCATCTTTGCGGACAAAGTGTACCGCACACTGCCCGCGGGGTGTGACACGTTTCGCCCCTGTGTTTTCACGTTTTTAGGTTCCAGTTTACAACACGAGGGGTAGTTTAGGTAAAGTGACAGCGGAGACGACCCGCTGGAAATTTGATTTATGGGCCATTAGCGCGGATTAGCCGCCCTGGTTTAACGTTTTACCCGGTGGGCAGCCACTCTAATTGGGCAGGTAAAACCCCATAACTCGGGTCTTTTAGTCGTTTTCCCGACTTATATTTGTTATTTATATGTTCACGTCTTTGAATATTGTGAGTTAGTTGCTAAACTTTTTGTAGTTAACTACACTTATGTCGTACTCGCGGCTGCACCACCGGGACACCTCCTCTGCTACTTATTAAAAGTTTAGTTTGCCACTAACTAACTGCGGCTAAATATTCATTCTAATCTTTAATAAGTGATAATTCTATGATAACTCTTTAACAGTCGGACTGGGCTCGGTTTGGCTAACAGGTGCCATGTGTCTGTTGCTTTATTTAGCCCCGTCTGCTCCCTTTGCTCAGCAGCACTGAATGAAAGTGTCATTTCCTCCACACCCTTCGAGTTTTAGTCGGTATCACCAGCCAACTCTCACATTTCCACATTCTGTGTGCTGAGATATTGACAGATATTCACCAGGTCCTCTTTTCTCCGAGTACTCACTTGTTTAAATACTCACTAACTTCCTCTGAGATACAAATCCAAGTGTTCCTCCAGTGTATGTGTGTTGGGTCTGACCCTAAT